CCCTGCTCACCCTGCTCTCCCTCCTCTCCCTCCTCTCCCTGCTCACCCTGCTCTCCCTGCTCTCCCTCCTCTCCCTGCTCTCCCTGCTCTCCCTCCTCTCCCTCCTCTCCCTGCTCTCCCTCCTCTCCCTGCTCACCCTGCTCTCCCTCCTCTCCCTCCTCTCCCTGCTCACCCTGCTCTCCCTCCTCTCCCTCCTCTCCCTGCTCACCCTGCTCTCCCTCCTCTCCCTCCTCTCCCTGCTCACCCTGCTCTCCCTCCTCTCCCTGCTCTCCCTGCTCTCCCTGCTCTCCCTGCTCTCCCTGCTCTCCCTCCTCTCCCTGCTCACCCTGCTCTCCCTCCTCTCCCTGCTCTCCCTGCTCTCCCTCCTCTCCCTGCTCTCCCTGCTCTCCCTCCTCTCCCTGCTCACCCTGCTCTCCCTGCTCTCCCTGCTCACCCTGCTCTCCCTCCTCTTCCTGCTCTCCCTGCTCTCCCTCCTCTCCCTGCTCTCCCTGCTCTCCCTCCTCTCCCTGCTCACCCTGCTCTCCCTCCTCTCCCTGCTCTCCCTGCTCTCCCTCCTCTCCCTGCTCTCCCTGCTCTCCCTCCTCTCCCTGCTCACCCTGCTCTCCCTCCTCTTCCTGCTCTCCCTGCTCTCCCTCCTCTCCCTGCTCTCCCTGCTCTCCCTCCTCTCCCTGCTCACCCTGCTCTCCCTCCTCTCCCTGCTCACCCTGCTCTCCCTCCTCTTCCTGCTCTCCCTGCTCTCCCTCCTCTCCCTGCTCTCCCTGCTCTCCCTCCTCTCCCTGCTCACCCTGCTCTCCCTGCTCTCCCTGCTCTCCCTGCTCTCCCTCCTCTCCCTGCTCTCCCTGCTCTCCCTCCTCTCCCTGCTCACCCTGCTCTCCCTCCTCTCCCTGCTCTCCCTGCTCTCCCTCCTCTCCCTCCTCTCCCTGCTCTCCCTCCTCTCCCTGCTCACCCTGCTCTCCCTGCTCTCCCTGCTCACCCTGCTCTCCCTGCTCTCCCTGCTCTCCCTGCTCTCCCTGCTCTCCCTGCTCTCCCTGCTCTCCCTGCTCTCCCTGCTCTCCCTCCTCTCCCTGCTCACCCTGCTCTCCCTGCTCTCCCTCCTCTCCCTGCTCTCCCTGCTCTCCCTGCTCTCCCTGCTCTCCCTCCTCTCCCTCCTCTCCCTGCTCACCCTGCTCTCCCTGCTCTCCCTGCTCACCCTGCTCTCCCTGCTCTCCCTGCTCTCCCTGCTCTCCCTGCTCTCCCTGCTCTCCCTGCTCTCCCTGCTCTCCCTGCTCTCCCTGCTCTCCCTGCTCTCCCTCCTCTCCCTGCTCTCCCTGCTCTCCCTGCTCTCCCTGCTCTCCCTGCTCACCCTGCTCTCCCTGCTCTCCCTGCTCTCCCTGCTCTCCCTGCTCTCCCTGCTCTCCCTGCTCTCCCTGCTCTCCCTGCTCTCCCTCCTCTCCCTGCTCACCCTGCTCTCCCTGCTCTCCCTCCTCTCCCTGCTCTCCCTGCTCTCCCTGCTCTCCCTGCTCTCCCTCCTCTCCCTCCTCTCCCTGCTCACCCTGCTCTCCCTGCTCTCCCTGCTCACCCTGCTCTCCCTGCTCTCCCTGCTCTCCCTGCTCTCCCTGCTCTCCCTGCTCTCCCTGCTCACCCTGCTCTCCCTGCTCTCCCTGCTCACCCTGCTCTCCCTGCTCTCCCTGCTCTCCCTGCTCTCCCTGCTCACCCTGCTCACCCTGCTCTCCCTGCTCTCCCTGCTCACCCTGCTCTCCCTGCTCTCCCTGCTCTCCCTGCTCTCCCTGCTCTCCCTGCTCTCCCTGCTCTCCCTCCTCTCCCTCCTCTCCCTGCTCACCCTGCTCTCCCTGCTCTCCCTGCTCTCCCTGCTCTCCCTCCTCTCCCTCCTCTCCCTGCTCACCCTGCTCTCCCTGCTCTCCCTGCTCACCCTGCTCTCCCTGCTCTCCCTGCTCTCCCTGCTCTCCCTGCTCTCCCTGCTCTCCCTGCTCTCCCTGCTCTCCCTGCTCTCCCTGCTCTCCCTGCTCTCCCTCCTCTCCCTGCTCTCCCTGCTCTCCCTGCTCTCCCTGCTCTCCCTGCTCACCCTGCTCTCCCTGCTCTCCCTGCTCTCCCTGCTCTCCCTGCTCTCCCTGCTCTCCCTGCTCTCCCTGCTCTCCCTGCTCTCCCTCCTCTCCCTGCTCACCCTGCTCTCCCTGCTCTCCCTCCTCTCCCTGCTCTCCCTGCTCTCCCTGCTCTCCCTGCTCTCCCTCCTCTCCCTCCTCTCCCTGCTCACCCTGCTCTCCCTGCTCTCCCTGCTCACCCTGCTCTCCCTGCTCTCCCTGCTCTCCCTGCTCTCCCTGCTCTCCCTGCTCTCCCTGCTCACCCTGCTCTCCCTGCTCTCCCTGCTCACCCTGCTCTCCCTGCTCTCCCTGCTCTCCCTGCTCTCCCTGCTCACCCTGCTCACCCTGCTCTCCCTGCTCTCCCTGCTCACCCTGCTCTCCCTGCTCTCCCTGCTCTCCCTGCTCACCCTGCTCTCCCTGCTCTCCCTGCTCTCCCTCCTCTCCCTGCTCACCCTGCTCTCCCTCCTCTCCCTGCTCACCCTGCTCTCCCTCCTCTCCCTCCTCTCCCTGCTCTCCCTGCTCTCCCTCCTCTCCCTGCTCACCCTGCTCTCCCTGCTCTCCCTGCTCTCCCTGCTCTCCCTCCTCTCCCTGCTCTCCCTGCTCTCCCTCCTCTCCCTGCTCACCCTGCTCTCCCTCCTCTCCCTGCTCTCCCTGCTCTCCCTCCTCTCCCTCCTCTCCCTGCTCTCCCTCCTCTCCCTGCTCACCCTGCTCTCCCTGCTCTCCCTGCTCACCCTGCTCTCCCTGCTCTCCCTGCTCTCCCTGCTCTCCCTGCTCTCCCTGCTCTCCCTGCTCTCCCTGCTCTCCCTGCTCTCCCTCCTCTCCCTGCTCACCCTGCTCTCCCTGCTCTCCCTCCTCTCCCTGCTCTCCCTGCTCTCCCTGCTCTCCCTGCTCTCCCTCCTCTCCCTCCTCTCCCTGCTCACCCTGCTCTCCCTGCTCTCCCTGCTCACCCTGCTCTCCCTGCTCTCCCTGCTCTCCCTGCTCTCCCTGCTCTCCCTGCTCTCCCTGCTCTCCCTGCTCTCCCTGCTCTCCCTGCTCTCCCTGCTCTCCCTCCTCTCCCTGCTCTCCCTGCTCTCCCTGCTCTCCCTGCTCTCCCTGCTCACCCTGCTCTCCCTGCTCTCCCTGCTCTCCCTGCTCTCCCTGCTCTCCCTGCTCTCCCTGCTCTCCCTGCTCTCCCTGCTCTCCCTCCTCTCCCTGCTCACCCTGCTCTCCCTGCTCTCCCTCCTCTCCCTGCTCTCCCTGCTCTCCCTGCTCTCCCTGCTCTCCCTCCTCTCCCTCCTCTCCCTGCTCACCCTGCTCTCCCTGCTCTCCCTGCTCACCCTGCTCTCCCTGCTCTCCCTGCTCTCCCTGCTCTCCCTGCTCTCCCTGCTCTCCCTGCTCACCCTGCTCTCCCTGCTCTCCCTGCTCACCCTGCTCTCCCTGCTCTCCCTGCTCTCCCTGCTCTCCCTGCTCACCCTGCTCACCCTGCTCTCCCTGCTCTCCCTGCTCACCCTGCTCTCCCTGCTCTCCCTGCTCTCCCTGCTCTCCCTGCTCTCCCTGCTCTCCCTGCTCTCCCTCCTCTCCCTCCTCTCCCTGCTCACCCTGCTCTCCCTGCTCTCCCTGCTCTCCCTGCTCTCCCTCCTCTCCCTCCTCTCCCTGCTCACCCTGCTCTCCCTGCTCTCCCTGCTCACCCTGCTCTCCCTGCTCTCCCTGCTCTCCCTGCTCTCCCTGCTCTCCCTGCTCTCCCTGCTCTCCCTGCTCTCCCTGCTCTCCCTGCTCTCCCTGCTCTCCCTCCTCTCCCTGCTCTCCCTGCTCTCCCTGCTCTCCCTGCTCTCCCTGCTCACCCTGCTCTCCCTGCTCTCCCTGCTCTCCCTGCTCTCCCTGCTCTCCCTGCTCTCCCTGCTCTCCCTGCTCTCCCTGCTCTCCCTCCTCTCCCTGCTCACCCTGCTCTCCCTGCTCTCCCTCCTCTCCCTGCTCTCCCTGCTCTCCCTGCTCTCCCTGCTCTCCCTCCTCTCCCTCCTCTCCCTGCTCACCCTGCTCTCCCTGCTCTCCCTGCTCACCCTGCTCTCCCTGCTCTCCCTGCTCTCCCTGCTCTCCCTGCTCTCCCTGCTCTCCCTGCTCACCCTGCTCTCCCTGCTCTCCCTGCTCACCCTGCTCTCCCTGCTCTCCCTGCTCTCCCTGCTCTCCCTGCTCACCCTGCTCACCCTGCTCTCCCTGCTCTCCCTGCTCACCCTGCTCTCCCTGCTCTCCCTGCTCTCCCTGCTCACCCTGCTCTCCCTGCTCTCCCTGCTCTCCCTGCTCTCCCTGCTCTCCCTGCTCACCCTGCTCACCCTGCTCTCCCTGCTCTCCCTGCTCACCCTGCTCTCCCTGCTCTCCCTGCTCTCCCTGCTCACCCTGCTCTCCCTGCTCTCCCTGCTCTCCCTGCTCACCCTGCTCTCCCTGCTCTCCCTGCTCTCCCTGCTCTCCCTGCTCTCCCTGCTCTCCCTGCTCTCCCTGCTCTCCCTGCTCTCCCTGCTCACCCTGCTCTCCCTGCTCTCCCTGCTCTCCCTGCTCACCCTGCTCTCCCTGCTCTCCCTGCTCTCCCTGCTCTCCCTGCTCTCCCTGCTCTCCCTGCTCTCCCTGCTCTCCCTGCTCTCCCTGCTCTCCCTGCTCACCCTGCTCTCCCTGCTCTCCCTGCTCTCCCTGCTCACCCTGCTCTCCCTGCTCTCCCTGCTCTCCCTGCTCTCCCTGCTCACCCTGCTCACCCTGTCATGCCTCACTTCCTTGCGTTCCCACCAACCCCACCCTCCGCCCTCCCCCCCACCATCAGCTAGTGGAGGCGGTGCACCTAGCGCGGGCCACAATGAACAGAGTCCGTTTCAACCTTGCCTGGGCCCTTCCCATGCTTCCCCCCCCTCTACACTCTCCCCTGCTCATTTCCCCTCACTCTCCCCTCCCCACCGCCAGCTAGTGGAGGCGGTGCATCTAGCGCGGGCCACAATGAACCGAGTGCGTCTCAACCTCGCATGGGCCCTCGCATACAACTGCCTCGCCGTGCCCCTGGCCGCTGGGGCCTTCCTCCCGGCTTACGACATCGCCCTCACACCCACGCTTGCCGGTACGACTGTCATGCTCACCAGCTGACTTTTGCGTAAATTTGTAAGTCTCTCGCATACAACTGCCTGGCCGTGCCGCTCGCTGCCGGAGCCTTCCTCTTCGCCTACGACATCGCCCTGACACCCACCCTCGCTGGTATGATTATCACGCCCACTCTTTCCTGTATAGTTATCTTGCTCACCCTCACTGGTGTGAGTATCACACCCACACTTGCTGGTAGGACTATCACAATGACTCCTTGCTGGTGTAATAATCACGCCAGCCCTTGCTGATGTCATCATCACGCTCACCCTTGCTTGGATGGTAATCATTGCCCAATGAGCTTTAAGCACTCATTGCAACTTGTTCAGCCACCATTTCAGTCCATATCCTTGTCTCCATGCTTCCTGTCTCCACCTTCTCCCCTCTCCCATCTCCGATCTCACCTCTCCCTTTTCCACCATCCCTCCTCCTTACACCCCCCTTCCTTGCCTGCAGGGGGGCTCATGGCAGGGAGCTCTGTGCTCGTGGTGGTCAGCTCGCTGCTGCTGCGACTGCACAAGGCACCGCAGTGAACCACAGGGAGCCGCAGTGAACCACAGTGACTGCAGTGATTGCAATGCGCTTTAAACAATGGCTGGCTTGGTGCCCACATGGGCTGCTGGCAGGCAGGCAGGCACTCAGCTTTCCCTGTGTCCCGGCTGCTCACCTGCTTGGTTGGTACCATACCATGAGACAAATTTTGAGGTGCCTCACAAATGTACGGTACCATTCGCACAGGAGGTGGAACTGTGGCAGTGTGGTTCTTGCACTCTTGCTACTGGCAGCAGCATTGAGTTTGTACAGTAAACACAAATGTGGGCTACAGAAAAACCAGCGGTTAACAACATTCTTTTTTGGTTGCTTCCAGCAGCAAGGCTGGCACGGAGATCTGTATGTATGGTTGCATGCATGGACTGTCAGGTGTGCAAAAGGAAAAGTTCAACCAGCACTGTAGTCTGACAAGGCTCGCTAATGTAGGGAGAGCTCAAAGAGTAGAATAGTGTAACAAACATCATGTGGCTATGGAACAAGCTACACTACCCAATGTGGTACACTTACATGCTGACTATTGTAGTGAACATTGAAGTCGCATACTCTTTGCATTATGGCTACAGACAGCAGCATGAGCAGAGCATTTACAGCACATCCGCGGCGAGTTGAGTTGCTTTGTATGCATAGACACAGGGCAGGAAACCAGCAGCTCAACACCCCTCTGCTGCACTGCCACTCCCAGTCGCCAGCAACAATCACTGCCTGCCACCTCTTGCCTCCACTCCTCTCCCGGGTCCCCACCCCCGTCACTGCAGGTATGAAACATACCCCCCTCCCCTACTCCCTCACTGCAGATACGAGACATACTTGGCAGACAGCAGCAGCTTCTGCACGGCCAGCAGGGCCTGCTTGCGCACGTCGGGGTCGGCATGGTCCAGCAGGCGCAGCACTCGCTCCTTGCCCTTCATGTCGTGCGCCACTCCCCGCCACCCCCCGCCCTGCCCCGCCCTGCCCCGCCCTGCTCCCGCTACTCCCTGCCCTGCCACTCCCCGCCCCACCCCGCCACACCCTGCCGCACCCCACCCAGCCACCCCTTCCCCCTGCCATCCCTCACTGCAGATACGAGACATACTTGGCAGACAGCAGCAGTTTCTGCACGGCCAGCAGGGCCTGCTTGCGCACGTCGGGGTCAGCATGGTCCAGCAGGCGCAGCACTCGCTCCTTGCCCTTCATGTCATGCGCCACTCCCCGCCCCGCCGGATGGTATGTGATGAACTGGCCCAGGTCGTGACACGCCACTGCCAAAGTCTTTGCCTCGTGGCTTGTGTCGAGTAAGGCCACCAATGCTCGCAGCACCTGGTGTGGGGTAGGGAAGGAGGGAAGGTGAAGTGGGGTTGGACGGATGAGACGTCTAAGGCGCATAAGACGATGAATAGGTACCTATACCTTCCCTTCTCCTCGTTTCACCCCCGACACTGTAAGGAGGGATTCATTCGTGCCGAGCTGCAACGTTACGTACTACGTTCGACATCAGCATCGACCTTCCGAGCGACGAAGCATGCTTTCTTCCGGCGGCTTCGTGATCGGGGTTACCCCCCTGCTTTCCTGCGACCGATCTTCAGCAGCATCCTTTTCGCACATCGTGCGACACTCTTCGCCAACACTCTCGCCAACCAGCTCCAACGACAAACCTCCCCTCCCTCTGACCGTGGACCCCTAGTCTTGAAGACGACCTACACACCTGTGTCGGCTCGCCTCGGACTAGGGGTTGTTTTGAGACGTCTCAAAAGTCGTCTACTTACACACGGATTTTACATAGAGGGCTGTTTTGTTGCTTGGAAAACTGGTTGTAACCTGCAAAGGTTACTGGTTCGCGCGAGGCTCCCTGAGCACCAGCTGGCGGATTGTGTTACTTCAACGTTACGCCACGAGGAATGAAGACCCCGAAGACTTGGACTTTTCTAGGTCGTCAGGGATTGGCCAACCAGATTTCTGGCCACGGTTGCAACAACCTGGAGTTTTGTTTTCCGAGACGTAGTGTTTGCCCAAATGCTTCGTCTTCCTCATTCTCTTTCATTTCCACTTGCACTGATGAAGGTGTGATTGGGGCCTGTCCCGTCACCCGAAACTAGTTTGCCTCGTTTTAATCTTTGAGTGGAATTTTGAGTCGGATTTCTTGAAACTCCTTGTTTTTAGCAGGAACAACAACAGATCGTACTGTTAATCCTTTGCTAAAGATTTCTTTTAGACTGCTGCTCGCCTAATCATATGGCTGAAGGTACTTGGGGTCTCCCAACTCCTACGGGCGATGCCGGTCTGGAAGATTCGAGTCTTGCACTAATTCCTCGTGGGGCGGATCACACCTCCAAGACGTACGCAGGTTACCGCAAACGTACCCGTACAACTGGGGGTGGAGAGAATTCTGCACCAACCCGTGGGGATCAAGCACAAGACAAGCATACGGGAAATCCTCCCCCCGCTGCTGCGATGGAAATTTCGAATGACGAGCCGGCGACGACTAACTCTCCCGCTGCTGCTGTCAACCCGACATCCGTTCAAGATACGCCCGTCGCAATTCCGGAGCCTTTCAAGGGCTGGGCGTTGAAGGCTGTCAGGGATTTTCGAAAGGACTTCAAGGCGCTCCTCAAGGCGAGGTCGAAGTTGAAGAAGATGAAGGCGCTCAACGAGCAGGGTGTGATTTTGCACAGTATTCGCACGAAAGCGGTTGAGTTTCAGACCAAGTACCCTCTGACGCGGGAAAAGTCTGCTGCATCGGTCGCGTCGGTTCATCACGAGAATCAGATGCGCATTCAACAAGACTTCATCAAGTCTAAGGAGTTGGAGGTTGAAGAGATCCTGGCGGCGTCCTCTTCACACCTTACCGCTTTGGCGACTAAGACCGAAGACTACATCAAAGGCCTTACCACCGATCCTGAGCTCACCGTGTCTAATGCGGCGAAGGAGCGATTCCGGAAGATTAAGGGTCTGTGTATCGAGAAGGCCAAGTCGGAGGTGTCTAACGCCAGGGATGAGATCGTCATCCAAGAGCTGGAGAGGCAGAGGGTAAAGGAAGCCGAGGATTTGAAGAAGGCTGCTGCAGCCGAAGAGATGGAACAGATGGAGACGGATCCGGCAATCGACGAGCTGATTCAGAAAGCTGTTAAGAAGTCCGCGGAGACGATGCGCAGGGAGATAACAGTGAGCGTCGAAGCGAAACTTACTGCGAAGTTCAAGAAGAACTTGTCGATGGGACCACAGGATCCCAAGCCGGCCCCCGCGTCTTCGAAGCCCAAGGCGGACCCGTCCAAGGACCAGAAATCTTCTGGCGCCAAGGCAGATGTACCGAAGGCTACGAGGAAGCGCGGGAAAGCCAAGAAGAAAGTGAAATCTCAAGGCGACGGCGGAGGGAAGGGTCAAGAAGCATCCTCGACCAAGGCCCAAGTTCCAAAAAACGGCGGCGGCGGCCCAGGAAAAGGGCCGCACAAGAACTAACGATAAGGGATCTGGCGCTCCAGCGATTCGGACGACTGACTTTACGGCAGGTGCAGTCACGCGTTCGGAATCGTGGAGTACATAACCTGAGTTCTAAGGTCTTGTCTCGCGATGAGACCTTGGCGCTCGGGATGGGTCTCAAATTCATACCTACGCCTCCATGGAACTTTTCTATCGCTGCGGATCTAGATCAAGTGCACCGACGGATCTCCCTTAGTCTCTTCTTCAAGGATAAAGGGTCGTCGTCCTCATCCCGTTTCCGTGTGAGGAATCCCAACTGGCGACCCGAAGGGGACGTGGTCCCGGAGCAGGTCTTCAAGTCGGCGCAAGCCGATCTATCTTTCCTGTTGAAGACGGTTCGTCCTCGCCGTGGGCACAATCTTTCGAGGAGTGCTCGGGAGGCGATCCGTTCCCTGTCGCTGAACCGCAACATCGTCATCAAACCCGCTGATAAGAACGTCGGCATCACGGTGATGGATCGAAGCCACTACGTCGCGCTCTGCATGGAACATCTCAGTGACGCAGCTGTCTACCTTCCGATTCGTCACGATCCGACTCCGGACGTTCTACGGCAGCTGAGTGAGCTGAAAGCGACATGGGGACCTGCTTTTCCTGACAGCCTGTGGAAGTACTTTTTCGATAAACCACCTGGTGGATGGCGCCCAGCGGCATTCTACATCCTGCCGAAACTCCATAAGAAAGTACCTGTGGGACGACCGATCGCCGCCTCACATTCATGGGTTACTACTAATGCGAGCAGATGGCTAGATTCGCAATTAAGACCGCTAGTACTGAAACGCGCCACCTACCTACGCGATTCCCTCTCGCTACTGACGAAGCTAGAATCAACGGCCTTTCTGCCTAACATTCTTCTGGCTACGTACGACGTTACCTCGCTCTATCCTAGCATTTCCATCGATCGAGGGCTCGACGCAGTTAGTAGCTTTCTGATGAGGGACCAGACGCAGCTCTCCTCCCCACTCATGGCCCTGCTGGGTTGGGTCATGAGAAACTCCTTTGTTGAGTTTGACGGCCGAGTTTATCAACAGGTGCGAGGGACAGCGATGGGAACTCCGGTCGCAGTTTGCTTCGCCATACTCTTCATGAGCCGCCTTGATGAGCTGCTGAGGGAAAGGTGGACTGGGATGTCACCAAGTTACCACGTCCGATACATAGACGATGGCCTGATTCTTTGGCCAGGTACGCGGGCAGATTTAGAGGAGTACCTGCGCACCTTCAACGGCTTGGATCCTAACATCAGGATCACGTGGAACATCTCAGATCACTCGGTAGACTTTCTGGACGTGGTTCTTTCTAAGGGGCCTCGTTTTGCTGAGTGTGGTATCCTGGACTTCGGTACATTCCAGAAGCCGATGAATAGGTACCTATACCTTCCCTTCTCCTCGTTTCACCCCCGACACTGTAAGGAGGGATTCATTCGTGCCGAGCTGCAACGTTACGTACTACGTTCGACATCAGCATCGACCTTCCGAGCGACGAAGCATGCTTTCTTCCGGCGGCTTCGTGATCGGGGTTACCCCCCTGCTTTCCTGCGACCGATCTTCAGCAGCATCCTTTTCGCACATCGTGCGACACTCTTCGCCAACACTCTCGCCAACCAGCTCCAACGACAAACCTCCCCTCCCTCTGACCGTGGACCCCTAGTCTTGAAGACGACCTACACACCTGTGTCGGCTCGCCTCGGACTAGGGGTTGTTTTGAGACGTCTCAAAAGTCGTCTACTTACACACGGATTTTACATAGAGGGCTGTTTTGTTGCTTGGAAAACTGGTTGTAACCTGCAAAGGTTACTGGTTCGCGCGAGGCTCCCTGAGCACCAGCTGGCGGATTGTGTTACTTCAACGTTACGCCACGAGGAATGAAGACCCCGAAGACTTGGACTTTTCTAGGTCGTCAGGGATTGGCCAACCAGATTTCTGGCCACGGTTGCAACAACCTGGAGTTTTGTTTTCCGAGACGTAGTGTTTGCCCAAATGCTTCGTCTTCCTCATTCTCTTTCATTTCCACTTGCACTGATGAAGGTGTGATTGGGGCCTGTCCCGTCACCCGAAACTAGTTTGCCTCGTTTTAATCTTTGAGTGGAATTTTGAGTCGGATTTCTTGAAACTCCTTGTTTTTAGCAGGAACAACAACAGATCGTACTGTTAATCCTTTGCTAAAGATTTCTTTTAGACTGCTGCTCGCCTAATCATATGGCTGAAGGTACTTGGGGTCTCCCAACTCCTACGGGCGATGCCGGTCTGGAAGATTCGAGTCTTGCACTAATTCCTCGTGGGGCGGATCACACCTCCAAGACGTACGCAGGTTACCGCAAACGTACCCGTACAACTGGGGGTGGAGAGAATTCTGCACCAACCCGTGGGGATCAAGCACAAGACAAGCATACGGGAAATCCTCCCCCCGCTGCTGCGATGGAAATTTCGAATGACGAGCCGGCGACGACTAACTCTCCCGCTGCTGCTGTCAACCCGACATCCGTTCAAGATACGCCCGTCGCAATTCCGGAGCCTTTCAAGGGCTGGGCGTTGAAGGCTGTCAGGGATTTTCGAAAGGACTTCAAGGCGCTCCTCAAGGCGAGGTCGAAGTTGAAGAAGATGAAGGCGCTCAACGAGCAGGGTGTGATTTTGCACAGTATTCGCACGAAAGCGGTTGAGTTTCAGACCAAGTACCCTCTGACGCGGGAAAAGTCTGCTGCATCGGTCGCGTCGGTTCATCACGAGAATCAGATGCGCATTCAACAAGACTTCATCAAGTCTAAGGAGTTGGAGGTTGAAGAGATCCTGGCGGCGTCCTCTTCACACCTTACCGCTTTGGCGACTAAGACCGAAGACTACATCAAAGGCCTTACCACCGATCCTGAGCTCACCGTGTCTAATGCGGCGAAGGAGCGATTCCGGAAGATTAAGGGTCTGTGTATCGAGAAGGCCAAGTCGGAGGTGTCTAACGCCAGGGATGAGATCGTCATCCAAGAGCTGGAGAGGCAGAGGGTAAAGGAAGCCAAGGATTTGAAGAAGGCTGCTGCAGCCGAAGAGATGGAACAGATGGAGACGGATCCGGCAATCGACGAGCTGATTCAGAAAGCTGTTAAGAAGTCCGCGGAGACGATGCGCAGGGAGATAACAGTGAGCGTCGAAGCGAAACTTACTGCGAAGTTCAAGAAGAACTTGTCGATGGGACCACAGGATCCCAAGCCGGCCCCCGCGTCTTCGAAGCCCAAGGCGGACCCGTCCAAGGACCAGAAATCTTCTGGCGCCAAGGCAGATGTACCGAAGGCTACGAGGAAGCGCGGGAAAGCCAAGAAGAAAGTGAAATCTCAAGGCGACGGCGGAGGGAAGGGTCAAGAAGCATCCTCGACCAAGGCCCAAGTTCCAAAAAACGGCGGCGGCGGCCCAGGAAAAGGGCCGCACAAGAACTAACGATAAGGGATCTGGCGCTCCAGCGATTCGGACGACTGACTTTACGGCAGGTGCAGTCACGCGTTCGGAATCGTGGAGTACATAACCTGAGTTCTAAGGTCTTGTCTCGCGATGAGACCTTGGCGCTCGGGATGGGTCTCAAATTCATACCTACGCCTCCATGGAACTTTTCTATCGCTGCGGATCTAGATCAAGTGCACCGACGGATCTCCCTTAGTCTCTTCTTCAAGGATAAAGGGTCGTCGTCCTCATCCCGTTTCCGTGTGAGGAATCCCAACTGGCGACCCGAAGGGGACGTGGTCCCGGAGCAGGTCTTCAAGTCGGCGCAAGCCGATCTATCTTTCCTGTTGAAGACGGTTCGTCCTCGCCGTGGGCACAATCTTTCGAGGAGTGCTCGGGAGGCGATCCGTTCCCTGTCGCTGAACCGCAACATCGTCATCAAACCCGCTGATAAGAACGTCGGCATCACGGTGATGGATCGAAGCCACTACGTCGCGCTCTGCATGGAACATCTCAGTGACGCAGCTGTCTACCTTCCGATTCGTCACGATCCGACTCCGGACGTTCTACGGCAGCTGAGTGAGCTGAAAGCGACATGGGGACCTGCTTTTCCTGACAGCCTGTGGAAGTACTTTTTCGATAAACCACCTGGTGGATGGCGCCCAGCGGCATTCTACATCCTGCCGAAACTCCATAAGAAAGTACCTGTGGGACGACCGATCGCCGCCTCACATTCATGGGTTACTACTAATGCGAGCAGATGGCTAGATTCGCAATTAAGACCGCTAGTACTGAAACGCGCCACCTACCTACGCGATTCCCTCTCGCTACTGACGAAGCTAGAATCAACGGCCTTTCTGCCTAACATTCTTCTGGCTACGTACGACGTTACCTCGCTCTATCCTAGCATTTCCATCGATCGAGGGCTCGACGCAGTTAGTAGCTTTCTGATGAGGGACCAGACGCAGCTCTCCTCCCCACTCATGGCCCTGCTGGGTTGGGTCATGAGAAACTCCTTTGTTGAGTTTGACGGCCGAGTTTATCAACAGGTGCGAGGGACAGCGATGGGAACTCCGGTCGCAGTTTGCTTCGCCATACTCTTCATGAGCCGCCTTGATGAGCTGCTGAGGGAAAGGTGGACTGGGATGTCACCAAGTTACCACGTCCGATACATAGACGATGGCCTGATTCTTTGGCCAGGTACGCGGGCAGATTTAGAGGAGTACCTGCGCACCTTCAACGGCTTGGATCCTAACATCAGGATCACGTGGAACATCTCAGATCACTCGGTAGACTTTCTGGACGTGGTTCTTTCTAAGGGGCCTCGTTTTGCTGAGTGTGGTATCCTGGACTTCGGTACATTCCAGAAGCCGATGAATAGGTACCTATACCTTCCCTTCTCCTCGTTTCACCCCCGACACTGTAAGGAGGGATTCATTCGTGCCGAGCTGCAACGTTACGTACTACGTTCGACATCAGCATCGACCTTCCGAGCGACGAAGCATGCTTTCTTCCGGCGGCTTCGTGATCGGGGTTACCCCCCTGCTTTCCTGCGACCGATCTTCAGCAGCATCCTTTTCGCACATCGTGCGACACTCTTCGCCAACACTCTCGCCAACCAGCTCCAACGACAAACCTCCCCTCCCTCTGACCGTGGACCCCTAGTCTTGAAGACGACCTACACACCTGTGTCGGCTCGCCTCGGACTAGGGGTTGTTTTGAGACGTCTCAAAAGTCGTCTACTTACACACGGATTTTACATAGAGGGCTGTTTTGTTGCTTGGAAAACTGGTTGTAACCTGCAAAGGTTACTGGTTCGCGCGAGGCTCCCTGAGCACCAGCTGGCGGATTGTGTTACTTCAACGTTACGCCACGAGGAATGAAGACCCCGAAGACTTGGACTTTTCTAGGTCGTCAGGGATTGGCCAACCAGATTTCTGGCCACGGTTGCAACAACCTGGAGTTTTGTTTTCCGAGACGTAGTGTTTGCCCAAATGCTTCGTCTTCCTCATTCTCTTTCATTTCCACTTGCACTGATGAAGGTGTGATTGGGGCCTGTCCCGTCACCCGAAACTAGTTTGCCTCGTTTTAATCTTTGAGTGGAATTTTGAGTCGGATTTCTTGAAACTCCTTGTTTTTAGCAGGAACAACAACAGATCGTACTGTTAATCCTTTGCTAAAGATTTCTTTTAGACTGCTGCTCGCCTAATCATATGGCTGATGAGACGTCTAAGGCGCATAAGACATGAGATGAACTGCCCCAGGTCGTGACATGGCATGCCACCACTGCCAGCATGCACGGCTCGTGGCTCATGCCCGACACCCTCAGAACCGCACAGTACCGCACACCACCCAGACCTGGAAGTCGTAGTTTTCGAAGTGCATGACATTTTCGCACAAGAAAACCGCATCCTTGTGCATGGGCGTCCAGTCAGGCAACCCCAAGATCCTCACAACCGCACAGCACTCACCACACACCACCCATCCACAAACCTGGAAGTCGTTATCCTCAACGTGCATCACATTCTCCCGCCAGAAGATCCTGTGCGCGGGCGTCCAGTCAGTCAACCCCATAAATCTCACAACCGCACAGCACCGCACACCACCCAGCCACATACCTGGAAATCATTATCCTCAAAGTGCATGACATTCTCGCGCCAGAATGCCGCGTCCTTGTGCATGGGCGTCCAGTCGAGCGAGCCCGACAGCACCTCCTGGCGGTACTTGTCGAACGAGCTCATCACGCGCAGGTTGTGCCTCAACCCCACGTCCAGCGCCTCAAGAGCCTCCTTCAGGTCCTGATGATGGTGGCAGTGTGAGACGCGCAGGGAACAGAGAGGGAAGGAAGGGAAGACGGTGTGATATGAGGCTTGTGAGCGAGCCTCAGAGCACCTCCTGGCCTGGCGGTACTTGGCAAACGAGCTCATCACGCGCAGGTTGTGCCTCAACCCCACGTCCAGCGCCTCTAGAGCCTCCTTCAGATCCTGGTAGGGGCAGCGTGAAGCATGGATGGGGCAGATGGGAGTATTGTGGTCAGAGAGGGAACGCACGATGATGGAGGGCGAGGCATGCATAGATGGCACGAGAGTGCAGGGCACGAGAAACGAGCTGCAGGCTGCAGCTCACGGCATGAGTGTGCATTATGCCCTGGCATGGCACTCACCATGTCATGCCACGTCATGCTGCCAGCTCACCTCGTCCTGCCACATCATACTGCCAGCTTACCTCCAGCGCCACGTCATGCTGCCAGTTCACCTCGTCGTGCCGCGTCATGCTGCCAGCTCACCTCGTCGTGCCACGTCATGCTGCCAGCTCACCTCGTCGTGCTACGTCATGCTGCCAGCTCACCTCGTCGTGCCACGCGTGCAGCTTGAGGCTCTGCACGACCTTGGGCAGCCCCAGCTCCACCATGGATGCCCCCAGGTGCCCGCGGGTCATCAGGTTGCTGAGAGTGAGCACTGCCACTCGCACTATCTGTGGCACGTGTGGGTGGGAGGTTGGGGGGTTGGGAGAGGTGGAGAGGTGTGAGGCTCTGCACGACCTTGGGCAGCCCCAGCTCCACCATTGATGCTCCCAGGTGCCCGCGGGTCATGAGATTGCTCAGAGTGAGCACTGCCACCCGCACAATCTGTGAGGTTGGGAGGTGGGGGTTCGGGGGTTAAGAGCGGTGAAGAGATGTGAAAGGGGGTGCAGGGCTGTGAGCTGCTGTGCGTCCGTCTGGCAGCCCCAGCTCCACCATTGATGCCCCCAGGTGCCCGCGGGTCATCAGATTGCTGAGGGTGAGCACCGCCACTCGCACAATCTGTGACATGTGAGGGTGAGAAGGTGGTTGGTTGGGAGAGGCGCAGAGGAGTGAGTTGCTGTGCGACGGTCTGGCAGCCCCAGCTCCACCATCAATGCCCCCAGGTGCCCGCAGGTGATGAGGTTGCTCAACGTCAGCACCACCACGCCACCCGCACTATCTGTGGGACGTGAGGGGAGGTGGAGAGAGAAGGGGGAGGGGGGGTGCGACAAGATGGAGAAAAGGGGTTGGAGGGTGGGGAGTGGTGAAGGGAGGTGACAGAATGGGAGCTCTTTCCTTCCTCTGGCGAAGCTATTAGCCTAAAAAACGAGACAAAGTATGCCTCAAATGACTTGAGTGGAGCGGGAACAGTGAGAGGAGTGAGTGGACTCAGGAGCCATGCTACATCTGGCCTGCTATGCCTGTGCTCCCAGCTCGTTACCTTCTCCTTGGCGGAGCCCTTGGCAACGTCAATGAGGCGCGGGAGAATGCGCGCCTGGTGAATGATGAGTTGACTTTTGAGTTGAGTCAAAAGTCAACGCAGCTACCCACCTTTTCTTTAGCGGAGCTCTTGGCAACGTCAATGAGGCGCGGCAGAATGCGCGCCTGGCGAATGGCCTCCAGGGAAGGCTCGTGGAAGGAGAGCAGCCAGAGGCACAGCACCGCCTCGTACAGCAGCTGAATGGGGGGGGAATAAAGGAGGCGAGGATGGGAGGTGGGGGAGAGGGGGGTGTGAGACAGGAAGAGACAGAGGCATGGGGTCAGGGCGTTGAGCACTCATGCAGTGCTGTCAAAGAGCATGCATTGTAACACATGGGGCATCTGGTTCTGGCCGGCCACGGGCACACCGTACAGCAGCAGCAGGCAGTGCAGAAGCAAAAACGTGTGAGGAAGCCCACACCAAAACGAACCACACCATAACGCATCACACCACATGCCATGCCATCACACCTGCATCTGATTCTGGCCAGCCACGGGTGCGATGTAGGGAAGCAGCAGGTACCACACAACACAACCGAATCCAAAAGCACACACCATAACAAACCACACCATAACAAACCACACCATAACAAACCACACCATTACGAATTAAACCATCAGCCATCACACCTGCATCTGGTTCTGGCCAGCCACGGGTGCAATGTAGGGCAGCAGCAGGCGCACGCCATCCGCCTTGGCAAAGATGGAGCGAGCCGACACGTCCCTGAGTGTGGTGGCCAGCGCTGTTATGGCTGCTGGCATTGCCCGCACCGGGTGCACCGGGCGAGTCAGCTGGGGGTGGGAGGGGGGGTAGGGAGGGAGGGTGCGATGGGGACATGTGTGGGGATAGAGGAGGGACTGTGCAGGCGCACGCCATCAGCCTTGGCAAAGATGGAGCGAGCTGACACGTCCCTGAGCATTGTGGCGAGTGCTGTTATGGCTGCTGGCATTGCCCTCACCAGGTGCACCGGGCGAGTCAGCTGGGGGTGGGAGGGGGGGAGGCAGGGGGAAGGAGAGGCGGAGAGGTGTGGGGATTGATTTATGAGGCGCCTCAACAGCTGACATGTCCCTGCGCGTTGGCGCCAGCGCTGTTGTGGCTGCTGGCACCGCCCGCACCGGGTGCACCGGGCGAGTCAGCTGGGGGTGGGGATGGGGGAGAGAAGAGGCGGAAAGGTGTGGGGGTTGATTTCTGCTTCTACAGTAAACATGTCCCTGAGCGTTGTGGCGAGCGCTGTTATGGCTGCTGGCACCACCCGCACCGGGTGCATCGGGCGAGTCAGCTGGGGGAGGGAGTGAGGGAGGGGAGAGACGGAAATGTGTGAAGGTTGATAACTGAGGAGCCTTAAAAGCGAATACGCCCCTGAGCGTTGTGGCGAGCGCTGTTACGGCTGATGGCACCGCGCGCACCGGGCGAGTCAGCTGGGGGCAGAAGGGAGGGAAATGGGGAGGCGGAGAGGTGTGGGGAAAGGGTAAATATGGTGGTGAGGGGGAAGCGAGATGACTAGGACGTGGGCATGGCAGAGCACTCACCTGGTGGCAGAGAAAGGCGATGAAGGGCTCAAGCACGTAGTCTATGTCGCCTGCTGGGGGGGACGCGGGCGTCCCTTCCCCTGCTTCTGCTGGTGCTGCTGCTGCTGACGCTGCGAGTGCGGACGAGCTGTGGGGGAAAACGAGATCACTAGGTCATGGGCATGGCTCACCTGGTGGCAGAGAAAGGCAATGAAGGGCTCAAGCACGTAGTCTATGTCGCCTGCTGGGGGGGACGCGGGCGTCTCTGCCCCTGCTGCTGCTGCAGGCGCGGAAGAGCTGTGCGGGCGAGAGCTGGTGGGCGGGCAGGCACGAGGCGGGAACGGCCGTTGGAGAGGGGGTGATTTAAGGGAGGGAGGGGAGATGCACGGAAGGACGTTATTATGATTGGAGGGGCAGGTGCTGTGGACAAGTGTTTCCTATTCACTGGATACACAGGGGTGAGGTACAGACCTCGTGATGCAGAGAGGCATGCACGGGAAGCAGCAGACAGCAAAAGGCACTCACACGATGATGAGAGAGAAATGCATGGTAGCAGGAAGCAGAGCGCTCACACGATGGCATGCATGGGAAGCAGCAAACAGCGAACAGTGCTCACATAACGGCATGCACGACAAGCAGAAGATGAGCACTCACACAATGATGAGGGGCAGAATCCGCGACGTGGCTTCCAGCACGAACCAGTTGGTGTGCCCCAACAGTCTGTGCGATGGCGGAGGGTGGGCAGTTCATGGTGGGATGGTGGAGAGACAGGCAGTGCAGAGTTGGATAGGGTTGTTGATGAAGTGGGGGACTGGTGAGTTGGGTGTGCAAGAGATGGGTGAGGACGGGCGCTCACTCACCTGATGAAAGGCGCTCACTCACCTGATGAATGAAAAGCGCTCACTCACCTGATGAAGGGCGCTCACTCACCTATGAAGGGCGCTCACCTGATGAAGGGCGCTCACCTGATGAAGGGCGCATAGACATCGTCCGTTATGGATGGATCGTGGAACAAGCGCGCCCTCTTCTTGTCCCCTGCAGCACACACAAGCGGCAGCATGAACGCATGGCGTGTGGGAGACAATAGAATGCTTTCCACGCTGCTACACTCGACACTCGCTCACTAGACAACACATGATGATACCAGTTACAAGTTGCGGTTCTACGCACGAGCTCGTTTTCTGCGTTATGCGTTCGTCAACGCCAAGAGCAAGACCCGTTACTTGTTAAAAGCTCGTCGATGAGAGCAATGGTGTACTCCACGGTCTCCTCTTTGAATACATTCTTCAGTACGGATATAAACGTGCGCACGTATCCGACGCCGTTCTGCCAGGCCAATGAGTGGAACCAGACAAAAATAGGGGACAAATTTCGACAACCGTAAGGGCACCGAAGAAAAGGGGTAGCACTCAAGTTGTGACAGGGCCATTTAGTGTTGCATACTATGGAGCTATGGAGGAACAGCTGCGACGCTGACACAAGTCGCAACAGCAGTAACGGGAAACGACATGCGTAAAAACGGTCGCTTTGTAGGGAACCAGGCGAGGGTGACCGAAGAATGCCGTGCGGCCAGGACGAAAGAAACGCATGAACGCGAGAACCGAAGAGGGAGAAAGAGAGGCGCGAGGAGCGGAGAGGCGGTTGCTGAGGCGCTTGCCTCTTCGAGCAGCGCGGCCTGGACCTCCTTGGAGCGGTGGTCGTAGCGTCTCAGAATTTTGAGACGTCTTAAAAACGCAGAGAGGGAAAGGAGGGGAAGGGAGAGGAGCGAGGAAGTAAGGACGGAAGGGGAGTGGGGAATGGGCGCTTGCCTCTTCGAGCAGCGCGGCCTGGACCTCCTTGGAGCGGTGGTCGTAGCGGCGCAGCAGCTGGAAGTCCGTGCCCGTGATCAGCTTCGCCGTCACGTACGTGTCCCACGCCACGTCGCCCAGCAGCACCTGCGACGGCGGGCGACAGGAACCAGGCGTCGCACGCGACGGGAAATGTCATCGCACGCGACGACGTGAGACGTTTCGCAGAATCAGGCATATCAAAGTAGCATGGGATGGGACGCCGTCGCGATAACAATGTGGTGCGCGGCAGATAGAGCTATGTAGGCCGCAGATCTGAGGGCCGCGAGTAACGGCCCGAGCCGCACAGCAAGGGGCGAAACAACAAGGATATGGATCTGAAAATGGGATCACTAAGCGTCTAGAAATTTGTAGCTCGAGCTCGAGACCAGACGCCTTTATTCATTCGTGTGCTCTTTAATGGTCAGCAGAGGACGGCTGGATTCGGAACGAAGGACGCGAAGGAGGGAGATCCGAATGCGCACCTTCTCCTTGTACGACTCGAACGACCCCTCCATCTACGCGATCTCGCTCAGATACTCTGGCCAATAGCGTAAGAGGGCTATTAACAAGTGCGGAGATGCCGCCTATGCACGTATGAGATAAGCTGTAATCAGTCACGTGCTTCAGAAACGGCAATGAAGGAATAATCTGAACGAAGCTATGCTAGCCCAGCTTGTTTCAGGATTGAGCGGTGAACCCCTAGGGAATCCCAGCAGAGCACAAGCGGCCCTGAGCAGAGCCATTTCTGACAATATCGAGGCATTTCTGAACCTCGGAAGTGGAAATATTGAATATTCATACAATAACATTTGGAGTGTTCTCATTTCTCTGATATAATATACCGAGAATGTTACGCAACCAAATAACGAAACGTTTCGCGCCTCTCGCTTGCAGGCGTGGCGCTGACAATGCAGCAGGCGGGGTTTCGGTCCCTCTCGTCTCTTCGCGCTGCCTCCGCCACCCCCCTCATTTCCTTTTTGTGCCATATTAACCCCTCCTCACCACTCTACTCTACTGCAAGAAGACTGAATCTGAAATCCACCAAGCATCCGCCCACTTTGCCCCAACTTTCAGGATCTGCTAAAGCCAGTTCAATTAGCTTCAACGCATAGTTTCTAACCTCAGTTTCATCCATATAATTCAGCGCGTGGTGAAAATTCGCGAAGCTGCTGTTATTAGTTGCTCCGATTGGTGTAGCAGCAACGGCCAGCAGCAGCGCACACACACAGAGGGGAAGAGAGACGCAGCGGAGAGTGGGGCGATGAAGGTCACCGTGAAGACCCTCAAGGGGCTTCAATTCGACGTCAACGTCGAGCCGTCAGACAAGGCAAGATCCGCCAAACATTTTCCAACGCAAGAAACGTCGAACCTCAGATAACCCAAGATCCGCCGATGCATCGCCGATAGATTCTCTCTCAGGACCGGAAACTGCCATTCGGATACCTGCGCGCTGATAGATCCACTATCAAGATTTACCATAGCGAATCTCTGTGCCCTGAACCCGTCGAATTCCCGCAGATAGCGGAAGTGAAGGGGAAGATTTTCGAGGTTCAGGGCGCGGCGTTGATAGGTGCACTGTCGTGATTTATACCAGTAATCTATTGAGTGCATCGGTGAACCCCTGTGACCCGCACTCCCGCAGGTGGCGGAGGTGAAGGGGAAGATCTTTGAGATTCAGGGCGCGGCGTTTCCGCGCGAGCAGCAGCTGCTGATCCACCAGGGCAAGGTGCTCAAAGACGACTCCACGCTCGCCGAGAGCAACGTCTCGGAGAATGGCTTCCTCGTCGTCATGCTGACAAAGGTACGCCACGTCACTCCCATACTTCTTCCACATCACGTCAAAACCTTCTTGCCACGTCGCGCGTCTCGCCCTCCACTCTTCTCCAGATCCACCTCCCGCCGCTCTCTGTCGCTTCCAGTGCTCGCCGTAGATCTCGCGGTTTCTTGCCCGTTGGACGATTCATGTCGACTTGGCTGTACTGAACCCTGATTTTGCCGTGCATGGTTACTTTTGAGGCACATCAAAAGCCCGTCGGGTCGATTCTTGTCGTCGTGGTCGACCTGAGCCCTGATTTTCTCGTGCGTGCGTGCGTTGCTGCTTGCAGCCTAAACCCGGAGCCGCGGGGGCGTCGTCATCAGCGCAAGCAGCGGTACGTCATCTTGCTCTTCCGTTTCCCCAACCGGTACTCTTTTTAGAGCGTCGAATAGCTTGTTGCCCCCGTCAATTATTAATTGATAGTTAGGAACGTTAATAAAGCGCATATGATGTCATGTTTCTCATCCCCCCAGCCTGCAGCGACCCCTGCGCCAGCGCCTGCTGCGGCACCAGTGGCCGCGCCAGCTGCACCAGCGGCGCAAGCAGCCCCCGCAGCGCCGGCCGAGCCCGCCGCTCCAGCAGCGCCCGCAGCTCCGCCTGCCGCCACCGCCGCACCCGCAGCAGCCGCGGGCGAGCAGGCGGGGAGTGGAGCGGCGGCGGAGACGGGGGGGGTGTACGGGCAGGCGGCGTCCGCGCTGCTGGCGGGACCGCACCTAGAGTCGACGGTGCAGCAGATTCTGGAGATGGGCGGCGGCAGTTGGGATCGCGACACGGTGCTGCGCGCTCTGCGGGCGGCGTTCAACAACCCCGAGCGCGCTGTGGAGTACCTCTACTCGGTGCGCGCCCCCGACCCCTCCGCAGTGCACCGCACCTTGCGTCACCGTTCTCCACCGGTTTTCACCTCGTCTCCCCTCTTGTCATCCCGCATCACACTCCTTAACCGCCCTACGCGCATTCCCCGCCTCTCCTCCACACTCTGTGCGCACCCGATTCCACCTCACCCCACTTCGCCGCACAACCCCATTCCGTGCCCAACTCCGCAGGGTATACCAGAGACGGCCGCGCCGCCTGTGGCGCGCGCGCCCCCAGCGGCGGGAGGGGGAGGGGAGGCGGAGGGCATGGAGGACGTGGCGATGGAAGGCGGCCCCAATACCGCGCCCCTCAACCTCTTCCCCCAGGTACCCGCTTTCCCCAGGTACGCCCTTCCCCCAGGTGCGCCCAGGTGCGCCCTTCCCCCAGGTAAGCTTATCCCCCGAGTGCGCTTGTCCCCCAGGTGCGCTTTTCCCCAGGTGCGCTCTTCCCCCATGTGCGCTCTTCCCCCAGGTGTGCGCCCTTCCCCTAGGCGCGCCGTTCCTCCAGGCGCGCTCTTCCCCCAGGTGCGTTTCCCCAGGTGCGCTCTTCCCCCAGGTGCGCTCTTCCCCCAAGTGCGCCTTATTCCCTAGTTGCGCTCTTCCCCCAGGTTCGCTCTTCCCCCAGATGCGCCTTCTCACCCAGGCGCACCCTTCCCCCAGGCGCGCCCTTCCCCCAGGCGCGCCCTTCCCCCAGGCGCGCCCTTCCCCCAGGCGCGCTCTTCCCCCAGATGCGCTCTTTCCCAGGTGCTCTTCCTCCCCTAGGTGCACGTCTGCTCGCCTCTCACCCATTCCGCTTGTTGTCCCCAGTCGGCCCACGCTGTCCTGTCCCCATGTCTGCACAACCCCTCACCACGTCTCGTCCCCCCTTGCGCTGCTTACCTTGTTTTCCCGTGCAAGAAAATGCTCTTTTCCTCGTGTCGCTCTTCTCATCGTGTCGCTCCTCTCCTCGTGCCCTTGTCCTGCCTTGTTGATCCCACCTGACCTGAGTTTTGCATCTCCCTGATTGGTGGAATGTTCTTTCCCTGTATCGTGGATTCACGGCAGCCGGGGCAAGGGGGAGCAGCAGCAGGCGCAGAGGGAGCGGCGGCGCTGGACTTCCTGCGAAACAATCCCCGGGTGAGTGGTTACCAGTGCAGGGTGAGTGGTTACCAGTGCAGGGTGAGTGGTTACCAGTGCAGGGTGAGTGGTTACCAGTGCAGGGTGAGTGGTTACCAGTGCAGGGTGAGTGGTTACCAGTGCAGGGTGAGTGGTTACCAGTAGGGTGAGTGGTTACCAGTGCAGGGTGAGTGGTTACCAGTGCAGGGTGAGTGGTTACCAGTGCAGGGTGGGTGGTTACCAGTGCAGGGTGGGTGGTTACCAGTGCAGGGTGAGTGGTTACCAGTGCAGGGTGAGTGGTTACCAGTGCAAGGTGAGTGGCTGCTTCTGCGCTGAAGAGTTTTATGTTTAGAATCAAGGGGATGCATTGTGACAGCAGGTCAGGTCTTGTGCGTACAGTAGAGGTAATGCTTGCCCTACCATTGTGGGGCTCTTCTTTCTGCTCTTGCTTCTAATTCTGCTCTTGCTTCTAATTCTGCTCTTGCTTCTAATTCTGCTCTTGCTTCTAATTCTGCTCTTGCTTCTAATTCTGCTCTTGCTTCTAATTCTGCTCTTGCTTCTAATTCTGCTCTTGCTTCTAATTCTGCTCTTGCTTCTAATTCTGCTCTTGCTGATGCCCATGCCTATGTTCATGCTCATGCTCATGGTGTTGCTGTCACTGCTGCTTCTACTGCCTGTGCTGCCTGTGCTGCGTGTGCTGCGTGGCAGTTCCAAGAGCTAAGAGCCATGGTCCAAGCGCGCCCACAGCTGCTGCAGGTACGCCCTCCCCTTCCGCACTCTGCTTGTACCCACCGCACCAACTCGCTTTCTCTCATGCCTTGGCTCTGTGTCCAGTCACCAAACCATTCCCTTGTAGCTCAGCTCGTCTTGCCACTTCTAGATGCATCCATGCAACCATCCCCGATCAATATGCCACAATCCCACCCATGCCACGGTGCCACCATCCTCCGTCTCCCACACTTCACCACCACATCCGTCCCTTCCCCCCCCCCCCCCTCCCTCCCATCCTTCTCCCCAAGCGCAGCCCATGCTACAGGAGCTTGGGAAGCAGGACCCCCAGCTGCTGCACGCACCTCGTTCACTCCAGGAGTGATTTCGATATTGCACCTCGTTCACCTCCACTCTTGAGAATTCTCAAAAGTGATTTCGATATTGCACCTCGTTCACCTCCACTCCCGTCCCGTTCTCTTTAACCCCTCCCCCTCCTGTCCTGCCCCCCTCTACCACATCTGCCCAGTCACCAGCCCATGCTACAGGAGCTGGGCAAGCAGAATCCCCAGCTGCTGCACCTCATTCATGCTACCATCCCCAGTTCCATCGCCCTCACACCAACCCCCACACCCATCCCTTTCAACTGCTCCACCCCTACTTTCCCTCTCTCCCACACCACCAGCCCATGCTACAGGAGCTGGGCAAGCAGAACCCCGAGCTGCTGCAGCTAATCCAGGCGCACCAGACGGAGTTCCTGCAACTCATCAACGAGCCGCCGCCAGAAGGGTAAGAGCCACCTGTGCGGGATCCCTTTTCTTCCTCGTGCCAGTGCCAGTGCCAGTGCCAGTGCCAGTGTCGTGTTTTGAGGCGCCTCAAAAGCAGAACCCCGACCTGCTGTGGCTAATCCAGGCGCACCAGACGTAGTTCCTCCAACTCATCAACGAGCCGCCCCCAGAAGGGTTTGTCTATCTCACCCACGCGCCTCTCCCTCCCTACCTTGTGTCGTTTCTCTCTCTCACACAATTTCTCCCCTCCCTTTTCCTCAGAAGGGCTCCGTTTTTTCTCCCTCACAAACACTCGCTCTCGCACTCCCTGTGCTTCTCGTTTACACTCACTCATCTCACCCCCTGCATTGCCTCGCACCGACGCCCTGCATCCGTTTCCCCAGCTGCCCCTCAATTTCTCCATCCATCCCGCAATTTCTCCATCCGTCCCTCCCATCTCCCACCTATCCATGTCTTCCCTCTTTGTTCTCACAGTGAGCTGATGAGTCAGCTGGAGGCGGCAGCAGCGGCGGCAGCAGGGGGAGAGGGGCTGCCGCCAGGCGTGAGAGCAATCCAAGTCACCCCGGAGGAGCAAGAGGCCATCGCACGGGTGAGAGGGGCAAGAGGCGATTGCACGGGCTGTAGCACAGATGGGCGTTACAGTGGAAGGATGAATGAGGCATGACATGGATGGGGATGGCATTCAGCTGCTGGACCATGCCGCATGCATGTGCCAATGCTCGTGAATTGTGCGCCACGTGTGTGCGTCGTGCCTCGTGTCCCCTGCAGCTGGAGGCGATGGGGTTTGACAGGGATCTGGTGGTGGAGGCACTCTTCGCGTGCGACAAGAACGAGGAGCTCGCTGCCAACTACTTGCTTCCTTCTTTCCTCCGCCACTCATGCCCTGTGTCCTGTGCTCTGTTCCCTGTGCCCTGCCCCACTCGGCCCTGTGGCCCCCTGCAGCTGGAGGCGATGGGATTCGATCGCGACCTGGTGGTGGAGGCATTCTTTGCGTGTGACAAGAACGAGGAGCTCGCTGCCAACTACTTGCTGGAGCACGGCGCTGAGTTTGACGACTGACTCGTGCCCGCACTTTGAAGTCTGAGCCCCCACGGGTGCCTGCTGTGGAGCAGTGCAGAGCAGAGAAGTGGGAGGGAGAGCAAAGCAATGCAGCACAGTGAGGTGGTGTGCGGTGCTGCAGTGAATAACGATGCTTAGCTGTCGTAATTGTTTCCGTCGCCTGTGTGTTTGTACGCATGAACTGCAACTACTAGCATGGGGTGGAGCCTTGGGTTTTCACGAAGCGAGTTCAGCTAGCTTCCTCCGTGGTCTCTCGAGCTCTGTTTTAGTGCAGCTGTGTTGGCTGGTTGACTGCAGGCTGGTGATTAGACCTACCGTACACATGAAGTGCACCTGGGGTATATGGCAACTTTTTGTCTTTCAAACATATACACAACTGATAGGTACCTTTGTCTAGCTAGGAATGGTGATAGTGTACTACGGTAATACATGTGTATCCTTGGTGCTACTGCCTAGAGGTTAGGGAGAGTGTCTGCATGAAGTGTGCAATTTCATGGATTGGATTTTGTATTGTGCGTTCCAATTCATTATCACTGTTCATCACAGCAAGTCTTCAACAAGTGATGAAGCCAACAAACCACTCCTTACCTTAGTGCACATCACCATACTACAGCCGCGTCACCTGAACAGAAATATACTACCGTAAATCTGATCCGCCTACACTACATTCAAGTTGAGTTGAGTTGACATGCCACTAACCAAAGCTGGCACATGTTCCGTCCACATGTCACGAGTCATGACCTGCAGCTGCTAACTGACTCTACCACCGCCACTCGTACCATAGCGTACGTACCATATCTCAAACCCTACACAGCCACTTGCACATTGCACTGATGTGGAAGCCACAGTGGACGGGATGGGCCATGGTCGACAAGCTATGGTTGGCATGGCAGGCTTCGGCTGGCTCTTGATCCACCACCTCCCTCTCCTCCCCACCCATCCCCACCACCACCCCTCCCTCCACACCGCTCCCACTGCCCCCCTCGCTGCCATCCCACTGCTACTCCCCTCCCCACCACCTTCCCCAGACATTGCCTGCTGCAGCTGGTACGCATACTGCAGGCTGCGGCAGTAGTGCAGTGGCGGGTTGACCATAGACACCGGAGCAGAAGTACATATACTGCGGGTTGAAGCGCGGGTCCTGCATGTCCTCTCCTCTGCTAGGAACGCCCCACTCTCTGCATGCTCACCTCCCTCCCTCCCTCAACTTCCCACCACCGGCTCCTCTCCCTCCTCCCCACCTTCCCCCACCACCCCTCCCTCCACACCGCTCCCACTCTCCAACTCGCTACCTCCCCCACTGCTACTCCCCTCCCCACCGCCATTCCCCATACTCATGCTCTGCTGCAGCTGGTAGGCATACTGCAGGCTGCGGCAGTAGTGCAGCGGCGGGTTGAAGCGCGGGTCCTGCATGTCCTCCGCCAGGAATGCTCCGCTTTCCAAGAGGAATCGGATGGCTCGCCGCCGATTGTGCCGCGCCGCGTGGTGCAAGGGGGTCCCTGGGGCAGAGGAGGAGGGGAGGGAGTGAGGGGGGTGGTTGAGGGGGAAGAGCGAAGGGAGGGTGAGGGGAAACGATGGATGTGAGTCGAAAGAGAAAGGGGGGAATGGGGAGACATGAACGGGGTCCCTGGGACAGAGCATGCCCTGCACTGCAGCAGCGGTGGCGGGTTGAAGCGCGGGTCCTGCATGTCCTCTGTGCCCCGCTGCTGCTGCCAGGTGCAGCAGCGTTCAGGCAACGTTGAGGCTCAGGTGTGTGCGAGGGGAGCACTCACAGCCAAAGGCCCCGCGGGTGCGCGCTTCAATGTTAGCTCCACCCTCCAGCAGCGCGTCCACGCCTGCCACGTGCCCCGCTGCTGCCGCCTTTTGAGGCGCTTTTTGAGGCGAAAAACACTGACACCAGATAGAGGAGGAAGGACACTCACAGCCAAACGCGCCACGTGTGCGCGCCTCAATATTCGCTCCACCCTCCAGCAACGCGTCCATGACCGCTATGTGCCCCGCTGCTGCCGCCAGGTGCAGCGCCGTCGCCCCCGCGTACTTTGGGCCCAGCGATGGCTCGTCCACTGCCACGTCTCCCTCCTCTAGTAGCTGCCGCACCTGGGTGGGTGGGAGGGAGGGAGGGTGGGTGGCAGGGAGGGAGGGTGGGTGGTAGGGAGGGAGGGTGGGTGGTAGGGAGGGAGGGTGGGTGGTAGGGAGGGTGAGAAAGGCACGGAAGAGATACTGAGAGACACTCATGGCTCGTCCACTGCAACATCCCCCTCCTCCAGTAACTGCCGCACCTGGGATGGTGCCAGAGCGTAAGTGGAGGGTAGGGTGAAAGGGAGGGCACGCGAGCAAAGGAGGAAGGGACAGTGAGAGACTGTCATGGCTCGTCCGGCCCACGTCTCCCTCCACCAGTAGCTGGCGCAAGTGAGTGCGAGGGGCAAAGGAAGAGAAAGGGGAGGGGTAGGGTTGCAGGGGGAAATGCAAGAAGAGGAGGCATCAAAGGCTGGAAGTCAAGATGGATGAGGAGAAAGGGGGAGCAGAGCGGTGACTGGGGTGCTGCCGGATGAACACCGCCTTGACCGAATGCTCCGTGATTGCCATGCCGATCCATTGGGTGCTCCCATTGCCATGCTACCGTGCAACCACGGTGTTACCGTGCTACCAGGACACCCATTTACCGTGTTACGGTGTTACCACGCACCATGCGCACGTTGCCCATGTGGCTGGCGATGTGCAGCATCGTCCACCCGCGGTCGTCACGCACGTTCAGCGCCACAGGCGGACCCGGCCTCGTGCCTGCCCTGCTGCCGCCTGCTCTGCTGCCACCTGCTCTTGAGGCGCGGGAGGCGGAGCGACGAGGAGGGCGGATGGACGGCACGGGGCGACGGGCCTCGTTCTCACTCTCCGTTGCTTCCGCGTTACTATCCCCTGCCGCTGCCGCCGCCGCTGCTGCTTCAACTGCTGCTACTGCTCCTGCTGCTGCTCCATCATCCCCATTATCGTCACCATCACCGCCCTCAGACGCGTCACGGCCGTCATCAGCGTTACGGGCGGCGGCCAATAGCTCGTCGCCAGCGCGGCGTCCCTTCCTGCTGCGTCGGGACGCGCTTCTCCTCCCCGCCTTCTCCGCCGCCGTCCCATCCGGCCTCGCCTTCGCCTCGCTCTTAGCTATCCCCTCGCCATCGGCTGCCACGTCAGCGTGGAGTAATCGCGTCTGGTTGTGCCATTGCAAGTCCTGGAGAAGGGATGGGGACGCGAATCGCTCGTTAGCATAGTAATCGCGTGAGCCTTGGAATAAATTCATTCACATCCTGAATCTTCCGCACTGGTTCCTTAACCTTGCCCGGCTCTACGCACGCGACGCGCATCTAACGTGCTCCTCGCATCCCAGACCTACCATTCCCACCATGTCGCTCGGCTCCTGGGGATCTCTCAATTCGCGAAACTTCGCGAACGGCTTGGAGTGTCGCGCGTCGTCGCAGCCTCACCGCCTTTGACTGTACCCCGCAAGCTGCTCGCTGACGTCATCATGGCCTCCCGCCAAATTCCATCGTCTCAACTCGACTCGACACCCTCCTAAGTTCGCTCGCGACGGAACCTACTACATAACAACCTGATTCAAACGCTTCACATATCACCGAGTTAACTACTGAGCTTTACAATTAGCTAAAATAATTACTCCAAGCGCAAAGGGAGTCGCTGGCGACCGAGCATGGAGAAGTGACAGACATGTGATCACATCGTTCATGTGAGCAAACAGTGACAGCAGTGACGGTGGCACAGCAGGCTGATTGTAAGGAAAATCCTTTTTCCTTACTTCGCGTCCCCGCTCAGCGCGTACACCACTCTAGCACCACAGTCAGCACCGTTACCACTCGCAACTCTCGCATCGACAATCCTCCCGCCACCTTCGCACGTCGCACCCCGACCTCACGGCTCGGCGGGTAACCCGCGCTCCGGGCCTCCGCTTCGACACTTTTCCCAACCTCAGTCCCAGGCCCGTCACGCGACAACCACAGTCCATTACCGTTACCACTGTAGTTTCGCTATATATTCTTCGCTCATGCCTTCGCTTATTGTACCTTTGCTTCGATAGTGCAATTCTCGCTCGCTCACTAAATTGCACACGTAACACTTGGTATTCAGAGCCTACGATTTCTCCTCGGACCGCACCCACACCTTCGTTTCCGCACTATCTCAATTTTTTGGGGGGGGGTAGACGTCTCTCAGCGACACAGCACCGCCGCTCGTAGTGCTCTCTCGTAAGCACGCACGGCCACGACAGAGGCTCTCGCTGAGCTCGCCCGACACCCCCGCCATGGCCGAATTCACGCTCGCAACATTGACGCAGGAGCAGCTTGACCGTCTGGTGCGCCAACTTGAAGATTCGGCGCTCGAAATTGCGACGCTCACGGCGGAACGTGACTCCGCACGTCAGCAATCCACGGTGAACATTCCAGCGCCACCACACGCACCGACAAATGCATCTGCACAATCGGACGAGCCGATCGTCATTTCGTCCGGCACACCAACGCAACACGACAGCGTGGGACAGCGCTCAGGCGCAGCCAGTGATGGCGCCGCCCAGCCGATGCCTGGCATGGGAGGAAACAGGGTCGCACCAAGCCCGCAGGAGCCTCGTGAAGCCCGTCGGCACGTGGAGTTCGCGGCGACAAGTGGCGAACAGGCCATTATGGCACCTATGCCACTCAAGCCGCAACGCCCGCCCTGCTTCGACCCAAGCCAACGTGGAGGTCCGACGGTTCAATCGTGGGTCTTCACGATGAATGTCTTTTTCGACGCGAATTACGTCGAGTCGGACGCAGCGAAGATTCGGTATGACGTTTCGCTGTTGAGGGGCCCCGCCATGGACTGGTGGCGAGTCAACGTGACGTCGCCACGTGCCTACGAGCCACCGTCGCAAGAGGAAGGGCCCACGGGTCCAGCTGTTACCTGGAGTTCATTCTGCGAGACCGCCCAGTACAGCACGTGGGATGCGTGGTGCGCAGGGCTTCGGGCGCGCTTCGAGCCAATTGCGGCTTCTATTTCGGCGCGTCAGAGAATGCGTACTTGGCGGCAGCTCGGGTCGGTTCAAGACTATACGAGTGGTTTTCTCGCATTATGCGAGCAGGTCGGCTACATGCACGAAGCGGAGCGGGTGGACCGTTACGTCGGAGGGCTGAAGCCGGACATCTCGCACGAGATCATGCTACGCGGGCTCTCGAACTTCAACGAGATTCTCGCGCTCGCCGAGAAAATCGACATCTTACGCCGTCCGAGACCGGGGTCCTACTACGGACATCGCCCTCGGGGACCGATCGAGCACGCCACCGTACATGCCGTTGCGACAAATGCAGCTGCCGCGCCGTTTAAGGGGTGTTGTTTTGCTTGCAATAGGCCGGGCCATCTTAAGAGTGAATGCCCAGAGGAGCTAAGGCGCCGCGGAGCAGAGCAAGGGAGGGAGTCTCCAAGGCAGGGAAACGCCAGCAGTCAGTAGGAGTCGGGCCAACTACTGACGAGACTGCCTGCTCGCCCAACCCCACCGACCCTCATCGAGTCACAGTACCGATTCATGCTATCGATCGGGCTCGGATGAATAAGGAGGGTACAACGACGGATTGCCCAGTACTGATCCACGGGAAAATACAGGGAGCAGCAGTGAAGATTTTCATTGACGGAGGAGCAAACCACAGTTTAGTTAATACCGCAACCGCCCGAAAACTGCAACTGACACTTAGCCGCTGTTTACCTGAGATAGACGCACGATTAGTCGACGGCACGCCATTGGCCATACGGGAAAAGGTGGAGAGAGTCAAAGTCCGCTACGGGGGGAATTTCGGATTTACACAGGAAATGCTCGCGACGACACTCGATGGGCACGACATTTTACTGGGACGTGATTGGCTACGACGGTATAACCCGCGAATCGACTAGACGACGGGTAGCTGCACTGTGCGAAGTAGCGGTAACTGGGTCGAGCTACCTCGCTGGCAGTCGCCCGATTCTTCAACGGTACACGTCAATGCCGTCACCATGAAACGAGCTGTCGCGGCTGGAGCTGACGTGTATGCAGTGGACATTGCAGTAGTAGAGGAAGCAGAGCAGCCGAGTGATTTCAAGAAACTGCTGGCAGCCGTACCGCCCGAACTACAGGAACTGTTGAAACGATACCCCGGGATTTTTCCCGACGACTTACCAGAAGGACTGCCACCTCAGCGAGCACATGACCACCGAATAGAATTAGAACCGGGGGCACAGCCAACTGTACAGCGCCAGTTCAGACTGACACAGCCCGAGCTCGACGAACTGAGGAAGCAGTTAGATTACCTGTTAGAGAAAAAAATCATCCGACCGAGCTCGTCACCGTTCGCCGCACCGATACTGTTCACACGGAAAAAAGACGGGGATTTTCGCATGTGTATCGACTACAGAGCACTGAACAGGGTAACAGTCAAGTCGCGGTACCCCATTCTCCGCGCCGACGAACTGATCGACCAATTGCGAACAGCACGGGTTTTTTTTCGAAAATAGATTTACGGGGAGGTTACCATCAGATTAGGGTCGAACCATCGGACTGCGCCAAAACAGCTTTCAGGACTAGGTACGGGTCGTTCGAGTACACTGTGATGCCATTCCGGTTGACCAACGCACCGACGACTTTTCAGATGACCATGAACGAGGTGTTTAGGCCGCTCTTAGATAAATGTGTGATAGTTTACCTCGACGACATCCTAGTTTACAGTCGGGATAAGCAACAGCACTTAGCAGATCTGGAAGCAGTATTTAAAGTTTTAGACGAGCACAGATTACTGACCAAGGGTTCCAAGTGCGAGTTCTTCCAGGATAGGTTAGAATTTGTGGGGCACGTTATTTCGGAGGCTGGAATTGAAATCGACCCAAAGAAGCTGGATACGGTAAAAGCGTGGCATCCCCCGACGAACATCACGGAGCTGCAGAGCTTTTTAGGGTTCGTTAATTATGTGCGTCGGTTCGTCCCCAATATGGCACGGTTAACAGCCCCACTGACGGATTTACTGCGGAAGGGGGTCGCTTTTACGTGGGGGGAGAAAGAGCATGCTGCCTTCTCTGCCCTGAAAAATGTTCTCTGTTCACCGCCCGTCCTACGCATCGCCGACCCACACCGCCCATTCGAAGTAGTTACCGACGCAAGCGACATCGCCATCGGAGCCGTACTGCTACAAGACTTCGGCAACGGCCTACAGCCCATCGCATACGAGTCACGAAAGCTGCATCCGCCCGAGAAAAATTACCAGATACACGACCGCGAAATGCTTGCGATCGTGCACGCGTTCAAAGTATGGCGCTGCTACTTGACCGGCGCAGACGTGACAGTACGGACAGACCATAAATCACTACAGTACCTTCGCGCACAGCCACACCTCAACCCACGACAGAATCGCTGGCTCGATTTCCTCGAGTCCAACTTCCACTACACGGTCACTTACAAAAAAGGAGCCTCGAACATCGCCGACGTACTGACCCGCCCCACTGCCCAGATTCACGCAATACTACTCGCCCAGACAAGCCCACTACTGACACGCCTATTTACCCACGGGTACCAAACGGATCCATTCTTCACAGGAGGAAATTCGCAGCAGTTCGCAGCAGCAAAGGGAGTCTATTACGTAAAAACCGGGACTGACCGCATTTGGGTGCCTGGGTATATACTGCTACGGGAATTACCTGAGAAGAATGAAGAACGAGGATGAATGAACTATGAATGAGGTGAGTACATATGGAAAACCCTAATTGGGTTGTACCCCCTATGGGATACCCCACTATAGCCTACACAACAGCATAAGCTATATAATGTTCTGACACACCCCCATAGGCAAAGTGGGGGAGAACAAGGGGTCACAAGACCAGTCAAGCAAAGCAGAGCAAGCTCAGGGTGGATCACAACGTCACCACACAGTCCGAGCACAACGACAAGGCCACAAGGCCAGTTCACATGCAGGAGTACACATATATATATAGAGCTAGACAAGCAAGAGCAGGTATATATATGTGACAGTACAAGTAAGGTCAAGAGGAGAGCAAGTGAGGCAAGACAGGTACAAGACCCAGCTGAGTGCAGAAGCGCTGATGGTCACAAGGCGCAAGTGCCTTGGTGAACACATCAGCAGTGTTGGCCTGAGAGGCCACGTACGCAAGTCGCAACTGACCACGCTGCTGCAGCTCACGAGCAAGAAAGTAACGGAGAGCAATGTGCTTCGTTCTGTGCTCCAAGCGCTGCTCTCGACACAAGGCCAGCATGGCCTTGTTGTCTACGTACAGCACTGGAGGAGAACGAGGCGGCTCTCCAAGGTCAGTCAGCAGGTAGGTGAGCCAGCGAAGCTCCTGTGCAGCCATGGCCCCGGCGTAGATCTCAGCCTCACAACTGGAGCC